CTTGCTGCCGGCCCCCCCCACTGCTCAGCCAATTCCACTGGACCACCAGGGACTGCTATATCCCTCCTCCCTGGCCAGGCAACAAATTTAAATACAACATAAACATAAAAAATGCCTTCTGACACTCCTCCTCCCCCCTCCCCCCCCCATTTTACACAAATCACATCCCTTCAGGAAAAAACACACACACAAACACAAACACTAACTTTACACACACACTAACTACACAGTCACTGCATTCACTATACACACATACTACACAAACACACCCTGCGTTCATTATATATATACACACACACACACACACACACACACACACTACGCAGCTCCACTGTATCCGGCTTGTATATTTTGTGCACAGAATATCGGCAAGTTAACGGCTATCGGCCTGAAAGTTCACAGATTATCGGAATCGGCTCTAAAAAAAATAAAATCAATATCGGTCGATCCCTACAAGGGATGCATTGCGGATCACATAAACCAAACTTACGGTGATATGCAAAATTACTAATCAATACTTAAACATAACAATTTGTGCATAATAAATCTCACAACTGATGAAAAGGGTATCCAAACGGTAGGCATCATGGGAGTTGTAGAATTAAAACATCTGGAGAAATATCTTTACAGTGATCCAGAAAAATGATACAGGTATGTCAAGAAGAAAAAAGTATGAAACACATAAGACTATTAGAGTTTTTAAATATTTTATGTGTCCTATCTGCATAAAACTTAAAGATGTACATTTTGTATTTTTCTTTATAAATGGGTGCTGCTAAAAGAAGGGTGGGGAAAAAGTGGCACGGGGCATTTAAGCAGACCTAAGTTTTCATTAAAGGAGGGAGAAAACAAACATACAGTAATTCATATTCCACTAACACTAACTGATCGTAGGCAAGTTTTTATTGCGAACATGACTGCAGACTGTGCCGGACCCAAGAAAATATCTTACCTGGAACAGAAGAAGGAAAAATAATTATTATTATTTTAATTTTTTTTAAAAAAGGACAAAGATGTCATAAATTCATGTTTCCATAAATGTATAGTAAACAGTAGGTTTTCGGTAACCAACTATTTTGTTTGTATGTTTCTGTCTATTAAACATACTGATATTGTATAATCTTGCAGTCTTACGAGTGGCACAGGTGAAGTGTGTAACTAAGCAGACAGTGCTGGAATATGGTGTAAAAAAAATAAAAAAAAAAATATGCTGATGCATTCAAAGCACGGTAGGTTCTTAAAGTAGTAAATCAATTTTAAAAGGAACACTCCCATAGAAAAAAAATAAAATTAAAAAATAAAATTTTTAACAATTTAGTATATGAAGAGCAATCCTTCTTATAAGACGGTATTCCCTACTCAAAAATAAAATGGATAACTAAAATGTAACTCCATTCTGTCTCAGAGGTCAACTTCTCCCTGATCTCAATCCTCCTTAGCTGACATCACTCTTCCTTGCCAGCAGATTGCCAAATATGTATAGAAAAGACATTAGTCAGCACAGAACTCTAGTTACACCTTCTGCAGAGGAGGGATTAAACACTCTATAGTGCAGCGTTTCCTAATAACACAATAAGACTCATGGCACCATGATCACGTTAAATCAGTAAAGCGGTCATGGTGCTTTAAAAGGTGCAAAGTGAAGGGCTTGGAGAGTCTGTATGTTCAGCATTTTATAGCGAAATGCTACATATAAGAAGTTTAACTCATCTGCTGCGGGAGGTGTAACTTTATAAATAATGAATAAGTAAAAATTAGGATCAATTTTCATAAGCCATTAAAGCTTGTCTACAAAGGAATTTATACACACAATCACTGTTATGCTAAGGGCATATGCTAGCTATGTATCTTCAAATTAATGTTATGTTAATATTTTTCTATCAAAAGTGCTCAGTGTTAAATGAGTTAAACAGCAACTAGATACAGACTATTCAATAATATAATTTTTCAACTGTAGGGCAATCGCTTCTTGATCCAAGGACAAATCTGACTGCCATTCTGGGGGAATTTTTTTTCTAGTTTGTTGCAAAATTGGAAGTGCTTCAAACCTTTTTTTTTGCCTAGTTTTGGATGAAAAGCAAAAAAAATAAAAAATAAAAAAATATGAGGAAGGCTGAACTTTGACACGTCTCCTTTCAACCTATGTAACTGGAATTGATCTACTTGTATTTACTGTGCTCTGAACAAACAAAATATACCAATGATATTAGAAATATGCATATTTGAAGTTGCTTGCATTAGCACTGCCCAAATACTTTTGTATGCCAAGAGTCACTTAAATCTTTACACAACATGGCTTTAAGTGAAGAGTAGGAGTTTCAATTTTCTTACCATCTTTATGTGATGCTAAAAATCTACCAAACCCCCCCACATAAAAAATACCCATCATTACTAACCCAAGTTAAAGCAATGTGCAGTTTGAGCGGCCACTAGATTGCACTTAAGATGCAGAAAAATAGTGCACTGAAGTCCTTACAAAGTATGTATTATTGTACAATTTGCAGTTTGTAGAAACAGCAATGTGACTTTGCTCAGAGTGTAGTAGACATCTGGTGCTATTATTTCCACCACATGGGTACTGTCTGAAAGAGCTGGCAAGTGCAGAATAATAAAATCAAACATTTTAATTAACTTAAATAAAGCCAATAAAATAATGCAACCATATACTTGAAAAATATATATATTTTTCAAGTATATGGTTGCATTATTTTATTGGCTTTATTCACTATAGCGTTTTGCCAAGGGCGTCTTTTAAAAAAAAAAATACATAATGTACATTGGTGAATATACAAAAGGTTCTCTCACCTTTTTAAGGCATAAAGAATAATTAGGACCTGTAGCACATACCCATGTGGCATATAAAATGTAGTGTTGTACGTATTTACAATATTTAGAAGAAATTGTAAAAGCAAAATCAGATATCGCTTGTAACGAAACAAACATGGACGAAGGGCAATCTAATTGTTTAAAACGTAACGCAATTAGGTTGCCTAGGCAACACAAACAAAATAGTGTAGGCAGCAGGTAAGGCTTGAATAGGTAGTCATAAAGAAAGGAAGAATAGAGGACAAATAAGTGAAAAAAAAAAAAAAAGAGACTGTATATTTAGCAAGTAGATGGTGAACCATTCAAGGGGTATTATCAGTGTCAAATAAATGTGCATGCATATGTTAAAAAAAATGAATATGTAAGTAGAGAGAAAAAAAAAAAACCAAACAGCTAGGAAAAAAAAAAAAAATATTAATCAAATAGATTTTCATTAAAAAGGTTCACCCCACCGCCAAAAAGTAAAAAAGTAAAAAAAAAAACAAAACAAAAAAAAAATATTGTAGATACACCCGGACTTTCAATGGCTGTTTAATCACAGGCTTCCCAATGCAGCTCATTGAGAATGTGCAAGAATTGACTCTGGGCAATTGCCTGCCTCCAGTGTGCTAAAGTACCAGGAAGGAACAGAAAGGGGGGAGAGGGGGAATGTGTGGCTGAAATAAAGTTAAAGGAAATTAAATAGGTTGAATATTACATGGAGTCTAATTACATACATTACAATATCCCATCCTTTCCAGTTTAAGTGATATTTGTCAATGGGTCTTTGATAGGTCTCCAGCCTCTCTAACGGTATTGCAGCGATGCCTCGATTTCGAGGCATCCTGCAATACCTCCAATGACTGCTGTGGCGCCCGGTAGTGTAGCAGAGCATCAGAAGCCATCAGGCAGGATTTCAATGCTCTGCCTGTTGGCAGAGTGCCTTGAGGGATCGAGGCACTCACTGAAGATAGATTTATACCTATGGACTTACCTGATCGTTGCCGTTCAGTCTTCCTCTCCTTCTGGAGCAAGCTCTTAATTGCCTTCCCAGCAGCTCCCCTGTGTAAACCTTGCAAGTCCCGTGGCCATCAGAGCGTTGCCACCGGTTACCATGGCAACACCCCGCATAGCACGCTGGTTGCAAGAGTTATACAGGGGAGCCGAAGGGAAGGTAAGCAAGAGTTTGCTGGGACCCCACGGGACCACCAGGGAATGCCATATCCCCCACCCCTGGCCAAGTAAGAAGCAGAGAGGGAGGACTAAAACACTTTTAATTTAATAAAAATTATTGTCCCCCCCACCCCAAATTACATACCTACAGAAACATACACACTGCATCCACTATACACACACCTCTCCTGTCTAAACACACTGCATCCACTACATGTGGCATGTATATTTTGTGCATTTACCTTTAGAAATAGTTTATTATTTCAAAATTGTAAATGTACAGAAAAGTTATCGGCTATCGGCTATCGGCATGAAAGTTTAAATTATCAAAAAAAAAAAAAAAAAAAAACATTATCGGTCAAGCCCTAGTAGACACCAAGACAACTATATTAAGCTGTAGTTCTTTTATTTTGTACACTTGGCCAACTGAATACTTGAGACAGATCCACATTTCAATGCATTATAAACTGGGGGACAGCTACTGCACTTGCACGGCAATCGCTGCGCCAATCAACACCTAATGGAAGTGCATTATCTAAATACATCTCTAAATTGACTGGGCATCAGCAGGACAAAAGGGTTAATGGAATTAGGTGTCTGGAGTCCCCATTTAATATACTGCTAGCTAGAAGACTCCACTTTCATTATCTTTAATAGAAAGAGCATTACCCTTTTGATATTAAAAAAAAATAAAAAAATAAAATAAAAAAAGGAAGTGAAAATGTTTAAGGAAAAAAGTATTTTAACAGACATGGGTACGTTTTAATATGCATTAACATTTCAAATTGTTGTCTGAACCAACTGAGCAATTATGAATAATGTGGTTTACAGAGTAGTGTGAATCTTTACCCTGCGCGATAAAAAAAATAAAATAAAAAATATATATATATATATATATAAAGCAAAAACGAAGTGCTGCAAGAGCACAAGAAAAGGATAAGCAATGGGGAAGGGAGATGAAAAAGAGAATCAACAAGCAGTTTAATGTGAAACACTAACAATAAACCTCTCACCTCCTCCGTTTAGTAATACCGCGGCCGGTCAGAGTAGGATTCCCGACTGTAGCGTGAGATGTCGTAGAGAGAACTTCGCAACACGGGGGAGAGTCGGCGCTCCGATCGATATCCGTCCATGCTGGAGGAGGTGGAGGAGGAGCGACGTAAAGGGCTTCTCTCTCGTGTGTAATATGAGCTGGAGAGAGGGGGTGGAGGGGGCAGCAGATGCCTCTCATATGGGAATGCCTCAATTCGATCCCTGTATACGTTGGAAACTGTTGGTGGTGGAGGGGGAAGAGAAGCCAGGCGACGTTCCAAGTACGGATCGTAGGAGGAGGGCCGTACGCGGTAACGCTGATAGTAGTCGATGATGTTGCAACGCTCCCGTTCGTCATAGAAAACACGCTCTGCATAAGTTGAGCTGTAGGCAGAAGCCGACATACTGCGCACAGGGGCATAAGGATCTGGGTATGGATCATGGGGATAGGCTGGTGGCGGCTGCTCCAGCTCCTGGGCCATTTGATCTAAGGGGCACTCTTTAGACCAGTGGCCCTCCTTCCCGCAACGGTAGCATCGGCTTCGGTCTCCCATTCCTGGTGTTACACGCAGACGGCTTGTGGAGAGCTGAACATGCATCCTTTTGCCTTCAAAAGAGCACACGCGACAAGAGTTGGTAGTGATTCAAGAGAGTATCTCCACTCTCACTGTGATTATCACAAATAGCAAATACTCAAAGAATAACACGAATTCCACAAATTCACCATCTACACCTCAATAATTAGCATTTAGTTTAAGCATGTCATAAGTGTTACCATCTCGCTAATTTATACACTGTCTATCCAATGACGTACCTAGAATTTCAATGCTGAATAGCTCTAGCAGACCCGTGCGGCGCTGAAAATAAAGGTACATTTTATATTTAAGGTAGGCAAGGGAGTAAGTGAGGGGCCTAAATAGTGTTTTTAACACCATAGGGTCAGGAATACATATTCCTGATCTTACAGTGTTCCTTTAAAGTTAAACAGAAAATTAACTTTGAAAATAGTTTTTGCTTCCCCTTTCAGAAAAGCACTTTCACAAAATTCAGGAACTGAGGTTTGTCTAGTAGACAGCCACTAGAGGCTCTCTTGGTGCTGTAATGTAAACATTAAATTTTCTCTAAAAAACAGCTCTAATGTTTTACATTGCAGCACCAAGTGCAATAAGGACACTGTACCCAGACCACTTCAATGAGCTGAAGTGGTCTGGATGCCTATAGGGTCACTCTAAACACCAAAACAACTATCTTAAAGCAGGTTTAGTGAATATAAAAAGTCCCTGCAGTTTCACTGATCAATTATCGTGCATGTAGGAGTTATATCACTTGTGTTTCTGTTTATGCAACTCTAACCACCTCTCGAGGCTGTGGCTCACATCCAACAGAAGAAAATAAAAATAAAATGGTTAAAGGATCACTAGAGAGTCAGGAACACCAACATGTATTCCTGACCCTATAGTGTTTAATCCACCATATAGGAGGCTTGCTGCGCCCCCCAGGGTCCCACTCCCACCGGGCTTAAGGGGGCTAAACACTCACCATTCTCCAGCACCAGGCTCCCTCAGCGCTGGGGACTCTCCTCCTCCTCCTGTCGTCATCGGCTGAATGCACATGCAGCCAGTCCATAGGAAAGCATTCTCAATGCTTTCCTATGGACGCTAGCGTCTTCTCACTGAAAAATCACAATGCGAAGCGCGGAAGGGCTTCTAGTGGCTGTCAATGAGACAGCCACTAGAGGCTGGTATTACCCATATGTAAACATAGTAGTTTCTCTTAAACTGCTGTTTACAGCAGGCAGGATTAATCCTAGATGGACCTGGCACACAGACAACTTCATTGAGCTGAAGTGGTCTGAGTGTCAATAGTGGTCCTTTAAAACTCACCTTATTTCCATCCCCGTGTGGGTCTGCAGGTGCTGGCCCCGCCCCGCCCCCTGTGTGACATCAAAACGGCCAATTTTTAGCCAATCCAATGCTTTCTCTATAAGCATTGGATTGGATAAAATCGGCACGGGCATGGCCAGATGCCATTTTGGCCAATTCAGGACCTCCTGAAAGAGATGCACTGAATCAATGCATCTCTTTGAGGAAAATTCAGCTACCCCATGCAGAGCGTGGGGATGCTGAATGGCAGGGCTGCCTACTGTACAGCCCTGAGCCACTCCAGTTGCCACTTGGAGGTGTCCCCAGGGGCAAAGCAAAACACTGCATTTTCTCTGAAAAAGGATGAGTTTGCATGAAAATGCCTTAAAGAAGCGATTATGCTCACCAGAACAACCAAATTAAGCTGTAGTTGTTGACAATATAGTCACCCAGACCACTTCTTCTAATTCTTTTAATTTAATTCATGCTTAAAACACTGGTGTTTTGCAGGAACGGTTATGTTTACATTGCAGGGCTAAAATGCCTTTAGTGGCTGTTACACTGACAGTTAAACTCTGCTATGTAAATCATAGACTGTGATTGGCATAAGCATTTTAGAAATTCCCTATAGTTTTAAGAATACATGTGTGTATTCCTAACGCTACTGTGTTCCTTTAAAGGACCACTCTAGGCACCCAGACCACTTCAGCTTAATGAAGTGGTCTGGGTGCCAGGTCCAGCTAGGGTTAGCCTATTTTTTCATAAACATAGCAGTTTCAGAGAAACTGCTATGTTTATGAATGGGTTAAGCCTTCCCCTATTTCCTCTAACTGCGGTCTCATTGACCGCCGCTAGAGGCGCTTGCGTGCTTCTCACTGTGATTTTCACAGTGAGAGCACGCCAGCGTCCGTAGGAAAGCATTATGAATGCTTTCCTATGTGACCAGCTGAATGCGTGAGCAGCTCTTGCCGCACGTGCGCATTCAGCCGACGGGGAGGAGAACTCTCCGCCCAGCGCTGGAAAAAGGTAAGTTTTAACCCCTTTCCAGAGCCGGGCAGGAGGGGGTCCCTGAGGGTGGGGGCACCCTCAGGGCACTATAGTGCCAGGAAAACGAGTATGTTTTCCTGGCACTATAGTGGTCATTTAATTGTCTATCAGATCTGACAGCAGTTTGTTTACTTTAGATGTGCTTTTTATCTCCTGCTCTGTTACCTGAACTTTAACCACACACTGGAGGCTACAGCAGACTATAAACAGAGCAGTATATATTAAAACTGCCTTTATTGCAGTCTGTTTACTTTAAAATTAAACAGATTCCTCTATACAAGAAATGTACAGTGAGACATTCAGGTGACATGTTGCTAGTGCTGCATAAACAAAGTAATTTAAAGCCTAAATGGCAGAGAATAGAATAGTGAGGCTGCAGGAGCATGATCTATACACGAAAACCAAAGGTTGTTGTGGTGTTAGTTTAATGTAACCGCACAGTTACATTAGCAAAAAGTGAATGACAGTTCCTCAGTAGAACCTAAAGCAGTGCTGTGGAGCTGTTTTTTTTTAATACTTACCAATCCTTTGCTACTTACCTGCAGCATCATCAAGTGAAGTAAATGTTTCTCTAACTCCAGTATAGACAGAAGTAACAAAAATTGTGTACATGAACAGAGACTTCTCTTGACTTGCAGTTGCAAGGGAAATATACAAACAACTAGAATTAAAATTTTAGCATTTAGGAGTATTCTTTAGGAGCCAATTAACAAGTGTCTTTTTGAAATTGCTCTAAACAGAATGGATAAGCCTGCTATGAATACCCAAGCCTATTTGTAAGACCAGTTAGTCCCATTTCCCACCTATATTTGGCATTTTATGGATTTATTGCCTAAACTGGAAATGTGGAGAACTGACAAAAGTAATTTAATAAAGGGCCAAAGCAGCCAAGTTAGAAACGTTTCTTATTCAGCTACATTGGCCTTATTTGTATGTTCTCCACATTTCCTGATTTAATAAATAAACAGAAGTCCAAAAGATGCAAGAAGGATGTAGTCAAGCTGACCGACAAATCATTAGTCAATTATACTTTTTGTCAAATCTATTTTTTAAACTGGAAATGTCAAGAGAAGCAGGGTTTGCTCTGTTTAGGAGTTATATAAATTAGACAATTATAGTCCAAGTCCTTCTTTCAGTTTTAGGGTCACACTTAAAGGAACACTCCGAACACCATAACTTTATCTAAATTAAGTTGTTATGGTGCCAGAAGAACCCAGGCAAACTCTTACCTTAAGGGGTTAAACCATTCTCAAATCCCAAAGTGAGCCTCCAGCACTGATCCTCTGGTCCCCAAGGGGGAATTCACCTCTGTTTTAGGAAGTGTGGAGTGCCGCTGACTGGCTGAGAGCGGTAAGCCGACGCTATCAGCCAATCAGAGACTCCTCATTCATAAACCTGTTTTGAAATGAAATGTATCTTTCTTAAGCCAGTTACAGCAGGTGGAGGCTCTAATTAGACACTAGGCCTCCCACCATATTTATTCGAATAGTAACCTTGTAGGGCTCTCCAAACACAGCTTATTGTATTTGTTCTGGTGAGTAGAATCATTCCCCTGAGGCTCAGAAAAAAAAAGGCAATTTTTGCATTATTGCCTAGTGGTAACTCCACCGACAACTCCTCAGATGGCTTCTAGAGGTGCTTCATGTGGCAGTGTTGCAGAGTGAGCAGCACTGCCATTCAGTGTCTCCACCCTCTGCATGAAGACAACTTTCCTCAGAGATGCATGGATTCTCACTACGATGAAATGCTTATTGGCCAGGGCAGTGTTTGAAGCGATTACACAAAACGCTACACTTCGCCAACAAGCATTTCCTCACAGAGAAGTACTGAATATCTATAGGGAACATTCAATGCCTCCATGCAGAGCATGGAAACGCTGAAGGCTAATTATGCAGAATCAACACAGGAAGCACCGCTGGCAGTGTTAATAGGCCAGTGATGGCTATCCTTGACACTATAAATTGCTTCTGGACTACATTTCCTATGATGCTCAGCTAGCTTTTAGACTAGTTCATTAGAGCATGGAATCCCGCAAATCTAAAATTCCCTGAACATAGATTAGCGAACTAGCAACTAGGGCTTATTTTCAGGGTAGGGCTTATATTAAGAGCATCCCTTAAAAACCAAGCCAGGGCTTACTTGATGTATTAATTTTCGATGAAAAACAGCATCTATGCGACCTAAAAGCTACCCAAGATCTCCCCTCAACCTAATTTCACCTTTGAATTCAGTGTTGTCCAGATTCCTTATAGCATCCAGTGCTTCATCTGCCCTTTCCATATGGACAAAGGCATAATCCTTTACAATGTCACATTCCAGGACAGACCCATAGGACTCAAATTTAGCACGCAACTCATCGCTGGTACAGTTGTTGCTAAGGTTGCTAACGTGAAGTTTGGTAGAGGCCTTTGGCTTCCCTCTACTGTTCTCAACATTGATGGCAACCCCGTGCAGTTTGTAGTGGTTAAGATTATGCACAGCTTCATCTGCTGACTTCTTATCTTCCATGTGGACAAAGCCATAATTCTTAATGATGTCACATTCTGTTACACGGCCAAACTGTTCAAACAGAGATTTCAGCTCACTCTGGGTTGCCTCAGCAGGCAGATTGCCTACAAACAATTTCACCATGTTTACAAATTCTAAAAAAAAATAAAATAAAAAAAATGCAGTTTAAACATAGTTCTTTATAATTTTCATATCTTAAAAAGGCACAAAAGGTAAACAAAGTTATTAAAAGCATAGTTTTGTTTTTACATGGGGAAAATGCCTTTACTCCTATTAAAAAAAAAAAAAAAAAAAAAGAAGGAATAATACGTCAATGCCAATACATGCAACAGGGCTCAAACCTTCCACTTACCCCGTTGGTGAATTGAAATTCAGCATCAGTGGATATTCACAAGGTTATTTACTAAAGTGTGAATTTCAAAGTCAAGGCCAGAGATACAGTTTGAAATCATAGCCGACTTTTCCAATTCAGCTATTTAGGCTTTAAATTAGAAATTCACTTTAAAGGACCACTATAGTGCCAGGAAAACATACTCGTTTTCCTGGCACTATAGAGCCCTGAGGGTGCCCCCACACTCTCCTCCCCGTCGGCTGAATGCGCACGCGCGGCAAAAGCTGAGCGCATTCAGCCAGTCACATAGGAAAGCATTCATAATGCTTTCCTACGGACGCTGGCGTGCTCTCACTGTGGAAAATCACAGTGAGAAACATGCAAGCGCCTCTAGTGGCTGTCAATGAGACAGCCACTAGAGGAAATAGGGGAAGGCTTAACCCATTCATAAACAGTTTCTCTGAAACTGCTATGTTTATGAAAAAATGGGTTAACCCTAGCTGGACCTGGCACCCAGACCACTTCATTAAAGGACCACTATAGTGCCAGGAAAACCACTCGTTTTCCTGGCACTATAGTGCCCTGAGGGTGCCCCCACCCTCAGGGTCCCCCTCCCGCCCGGCTCTGGAAAGGGGTTTAAACTTACCTTTTTCCAGCGCTGGGCGGAGAGCTCTCTGCCTCCTCTCCTCCTCCGTTCGCCCGGTGAATGCGTCTGCATTCAGCGGTCTCATAGGAAAGCATTTACAATGCTTTCCTATGGACGCTGGCGTGCTCTCACTGTGAAAATCACAGTGAGAAGCACGCAAGCGCCACTAGTGGCTGTCAATGAGACAGCCACTAGAGGATTAAGGGGAAAGCTTAACCCATTAATAAACATAGCAGTTTCTCTGAAACTGCTATGTTTATTAAAAAATGGGTTAACCCTAGCTGGACCAGGCACCCAGACCACTTCATTAAGCTGAAGTGGTCTGGGTGCCTAGAGTGGTCCTTTAAAGTCTCACTTTAGTGAACAATCCTGTCCTTATTTAAAACAGGAGTTTGTTTTGCTTTTTCTAGGGATCGACCGATATTGATTTTTTTAGAGCCGATACCGATAATCTGTTAACTTTCAGGCCTATAGCCGATAACCTGTACATTTACCATTTTGAAAAAATAAACTATTTCTAAAAGTTAAATGCACAAAATATAAAAGCCACATGCACTGGATGCAGTGTGTTTAGACAGTGGAGCTGTGTATATTTGTGTAGTGTATATATAATGAATGCAGAGTGTGTGTTTGTGTAGTGTGTATATAATGAATGCAGAGTGTGTGTTTGTGTAGTGTGTGGTGTATAAAGTGAATGCAGTGTTTAGTGTGTATAGCGAACGCAGTGTGTATAGTGAATGCAGTGTGTTTGTATAGTGTGTGTATATAATGCCTACAGTGTGTAGTGTGTGTATATATGATGCAGTGTTTGTAGTGTGTGTATATATGATGCAGTGTGTGCATTAAACACTAAATTATAGACACTACACTATATACACACTGCGTTATATACAGAGTGTGTGTATATAATGCAGTGTTTGTGTGTATATAATGCAGTGTGTGCATTAACACACTACATTATATATACACACACACTAAATTATATAGACACACTACACTATATACACACTCTGCGTTATATACAGAGTGTGTATGTATATAATGCAGTGTGTGTGTTTTCCTGAAGGGATGTGATTTGTGTAAAATGGGGGTGGGGGCATTTTTTTATTTTAATCTTTAATGTTTTTTTTTTTTTAAATATTTATGTTTATTTAAATTTTTTATATTTGTTTATTTTATGCTTATTTTTAATAGTTATATTTTATTATTGTTGTCCCCCCTCCCTGCTTGTTACCTGGTCAGGGAGGGAGGATATGACAGTCCCTGGTGGTCCAGTGGCATTGGCTGAGCTGGTGGGGGGGCAGGTAGCGTTTACTTACCTCCCCTGCAGCTCCTCCAGCTCCCAGTGTAAATCTCGCGGCCCTTAGTGCCTGACGGCCGCGGGTCTCACGAGATTTAAACTAGGAGCTGGAGGAGGTGCTTCCACAGTGTGCAGCACTGCCATTCAGTGTCTCCACCCTCTGGATGTTGACACTGAATTTTCTTCAGAGATGCATTGATTCAGTGGTCCCCTCTCCCTCCCACCCCTGGTTGCTCAACGGGTGAAAACCCCTTCAGTCACTAACCAGAGGCAGCGATATGTCCCACGTCGCTGCTTCTTCCTCCACCGCCGCTCCCCTTCATTACGTCAGCCGGCGGGGGATACGGATCCCACCCGTCGGGGAGACCTAATGCGCATTAGACCTCTCCATAGGAAAGCACTGTGTGAGGACATCCAGCAACGATATAGCACAGAAAACCTGTGCTATGGACGGGGAAGTGCCCACTAGTAGACAGCCACTAGGAGAGGTCTTAACCCTGCAAGCTAATTATTGCAGTTTATGCAATAATTACAGTTGCAAGGTTAAGGGTAGTGGGAGTTGGCACCCAGACCACTCCAGTGGGCAGAAGTGGTCTGGGTGCCTGGAGTGTCCCTTTAAGCTGAACTGGTAGGGGTGACTATAGCATCCCTTTAAAGGGACACTCCAGGCACCTGTAAATCTAAGGGTGCCCTGTTATATATAGCCCCCCTACCCACCTCACGAAAATCGATCCAGATAATATTTAGTCTCGCAGCATCAACCTCAAGGACCTCATTAATCACTAGTAAAGGTAATTTCAGTTTACTTTATGGTTTTCTCATTAAACTTTATAAAGTTAAAAACATTATAAACATGGATAAAGTAGAAATATAAAGATAAATGTACGTACATTTTATTTTTAAAAACACCCTCCGTTCTAAAAAATATTCTGCACTTGCGTGAAAACTGGTGGGCGGTAAAGACATTTTTCTATCAAGAAAGATGCATTAGTGGGCGGTAGGTAGACTACCCCTGCTCTAACCCTTTGAAGGGTAGGTTGCTTTTCCGGTGTAAATTACCCTATTGTATCGTGCTCCACGATTTTCGGTAAAACCTGAAAAATAAACATTTTACTCACATGGAATCCAGAGCCGGGCCAATCTCACGACGCGAGTCTTCCGCGCTCTCTTTCAGGGATGGAGCGCGCTCTGAGCCGGCGAGTTGATAAAAAAAAAAAAAAAAAAACCACCACCTCCCTTTGGAGTTTTAGGATCATAAACGGTAAAACTAAATCTTTAACGCAGCTTTTAATGTTCATACCAAGAAGCCTATTTTAAAATAACTTTTGAAATCCCATTGTTGTTTCTCGAGAATGGCGATTTATTAAACCCTGAATAATATCGAAAAGGAGATATTTCCAGATAGGCTATTTTAAGCCTATCGGATTCCTTTCAGTTAGCTATGATTCGGATTTCAATGAATAGCATGACTTCAAAAACACATGGGCACAAGAATACCAGAACCGATTAACGAACGAACTTTGCAACTAGCCTCTGCTTGAGTCAAATGATCGAATTATTAAACAGTGCTCTTTTCCATAGCCAGACTGTAAACTAATATTCCAGGCCATTAATTTTACCGTTGTAGCATTTGAAAACGCGCTTCACTTACCTCCTTAAATGACCGCAGACAAAACAAAATGGCAGACGACTTGCAGATCATACAAATAACAGAAACATGGAATGGAAGCGGAAGAGGAACTGCTGCGTCAGTCTCAATTTGATTGGACGACTGCCTACGCAGACACCGGTAAAAAAGCGTCCTTTGCATTGGCGTATTCTATTAAAGGAAGTGCGTCATATAATTGACGTTTTTTGGGCGCCAGAGTTCTAAGCACCTAAGCTAATGAACGACCAGTGCGTCATAAAATTTCCGTTGGTTGGGCGCTAGAGCTCTAAGCACCTAAGCTATTTTAACGACTAAGTTATGAGAAAAGTGGTACTATTCTCTGCAAAACAGCTGACAAATTCAGTATGCAAACTACTGTATGCAACCTATCTTGGCTTTTTATATTTAATCATGGTTACAAATTGTTAATTTACACTTGATGTTAATTCGTTTGTTAATATATAACCTAGTTAATGATCATTTAAAAAAAAAAAAAAAAAAGTTGTGTTTTACTCTTGCACTAAAACAAAATTATTTTCCTTGCGTATAATCTAGAGTGACAACTAAAAATATTTTTAAGTTTCACTCGCTGTGAAAAATAAAATGCTTTCCTCTCTCGAGGACTTCCGTGTGAAGAAATCGTCGACATATTATGACGTAAAAAAGGCATAAACCGAGAGCCAGTGGAGCCGCGCATTTTCTCAGGTCATGAATTCCTCAAACGTCAGTGGAACATTATGCAAGGTGATCTCTCTGGTGTAATGTAGACAGTAACAAAACAGCAACCCAACTATTAGTTTCGTGCCCGCATTAGTTTGATATTCAGGCTGTCTTCAGATTGATGTGTGGTAAAAATTTTTGCAGAGCAGTGTTCAATGGGTTTAAGGTGGTTATGGAATACTGTATTTAGAATAGCCCCCCTACCCACCTTAGTGTCTGGGTAAAGTAGTAATATATATTTGAATCCCTTACATAATACATACTATTTTAGATGCAAGCAAGGCAGCTCATTTTAATCTGCGGAGACCAGTTTTATCCCATAACCTGATGTTGTGCAGAGGTGTATGGGATAAGTAATTTATCACCTAAGACAGACATCCCAACTTGCAAAAATGCATTTCAGGGAGGTGGCTACACCAGCTTCGACGTCACCCCCCACCTCACGCGTGAAAACACACCCTCTCCCACACAGCTTACAACACCGTGACATACAGATACACACAGCTACACAAACACTTCAGATACATAGTGACATACCGATTCACACACACTGCCACAAACACTCAGATACACTCCTGTTAGCTTACCTGTGTTCTGGAGGGTGGCTTGCTTGGTGCTCTGGTCCTGGCTGAGGCTGATCGGAGTGAGCATGCAGTAGCTCACTCCAGCCTCCATGCTGCCTCCTCCCTCCAGTCCTCCTGCGAAGCAGGGAGGAAGTGACAGGCTGTCATCAGTTCTTACCTGCCGGTGTTCCATTAGATAAGTATACTTATTGCGTCACCGGAAGTGACGCAAGATCAGCTGCGCGCATGCTGATCTTGGGGTATAGAATTCTGACGGAGGCACTGCACGCATGCGTGCCACCTCCTCTAATCTGAAGGTGTACCGCCTTCCCATCCCCAGTGGATAACCCACATTAACCTCCCCATCTGTAGTGTGTCACCTCCATAATCCTGCATCTAAGCTATTTCCACTGTTGGTACACAGTGAAAGCTGTAGTATAGAAATCTGATTGATGTACTGCGCACACATGCAGTACACCCATCAGATTTCTATATCTGACGGATGTGCCGCGCACATGCGCAGTACACCTGTCAGATTTCTATATCTGGAGGGTGAGCTGCGTGCATGCTCTGTACACATTCAGATTAGAGGACCACCTGTAAGTATATTTATCTGATAGAACACCGGCTGATACTATGGTAAGCTCTTAAAGGGCCAGCACCCCACCGGGACCCTGCTTAGCGAGTATGAGGGAGAGGTGGGGGGGCATAAATCATCTATAAAATCCTGGTAACCATCACACACAATCTGATAAACATTGTGTGTTTGTGTGATTTCTGGGATATTATACATGATATGAGGGTGTCAGGAAGCCACATGCAAATGCGTGAGTCTCCTGGAACTACCGGGAGACTAGGTATGTCTGCCTAAGAGCAGTTCCAGTCATTAAACAATTTGATTGGAACTGCATTATAAACTGACAGCAGCCATATCACAGCTGCTATCAGTTAAATGGACACTATAGGCACCCAGACCACTTCAGCTTTTTCACGTGGTCCAGGTGCAATGTTCCAGGTCTCTTAACCATGCGAAGCTAATTATTATTATATATTAACTCAGTTGTCTGCCATTTAGGAGATAAATCACTTTTGTTTCTCCCTCCCCTGACTGTGACTGACTGACTGCCTGCATGAAAAATCAGCCATGTACCTTTCTGGAGGACATACCCCATTTGCAATAACTTGGGGTGTCTACTTTTGCAAATGGTATGCCATCATGGGGAAATCTCATTCCTAGGCTACCATACGGACTCCAATGCAGAGTTTTAATGTGAAAAAATGGAAATGCAAGTCTTATATTACACTCTGTAACTTTTGAAAACACTATAAGGCATGTACATGGTGGGTACTGTTATACTCGAGAGACTTCGCTGAAAACAAATATTAGTGTTTCCAAACATTACAACTTATCACAACAATTATATCATCAGTGAAAAAGTGCCGTTTGTGTGTGAAAAATGCAAAAAACTTCCCTTTCACAGACTTTCAAGGGGAAACAGTGCCAATACATACATTTTTGATACTAATGAAAAATTTTAGATTTCTGTTTGAAAATGTTTATAAAATATTATTTTTAATATTTATTACCCAATTAATAACCTCACATCCCTTTAGTATCAATGACAGAATGCAGTCTTTTGTAATAGTTGCCTATGAGGCCCCTAATTCTTGCAGGTGGTATAGCTGCCCATTCTTCTTGGCAAAATGCCTCCAGGTCATGCAAAGTCTTTGGTCGTCTCGCATGAACCGCATGTTTGATATCTCTCCAGAGTGACTCGATGATATTAAGATCAAGAGACTGTGATGGCCACTCCAGAACCTTCACCTGTTTCTGCTGTAACCATTTGAGGGTCAACTTGGCCTTGTGCTTAGGGTCATTGTCATGTTGGAAAGTCCCATGCGCAGCCTTCGTGTAGAAGAATGCAAATTGTCTGCCAGTATTTTCTGATAACATGCTGCATTAATCTTGACATCAATTTTCACAAGATTCCCCATGTGGTCACACCCACCCAAAACATCAGTGAGCCACCACCATGCTTCACAGTGGGGATGGTATTCTTTTCACTAAAGACCCTCTCCAGACATAGCGCTTACAGTTGTGCCCATAAAGCTCTATTTTGGTCTCTACACCCAAATTACTCTGTACCAGAAGCTATGAGGTGTGTCAAGATGTCTGGAATATTGTAACTGGGCTTTTTTTGTGGCATTGGCGCAGTAAAGGCTTCTTTCTGGCAACTCGATCATGAAGCTAATTTTTGGGCATTGTGCTCCTTGAAACAACCACACTGTCTTTTTCCAGAGCAGCCTGTATTTTTCCTGAGGTTACCTGTGGGTTTTTCTTTGTATCTTGAATGCCGTATATACTCGAGTATAAGTCGACCCAAATATAAGTCAAGACCCCTAATTTTACCCCCCAAAACTGGGAAAACTTATTGACTCGAGTATAAGACTAGGGTGGGAAATGCAGCAGCTACTGGTAAATTTCTAAATAAAATTAGATCCCCCCAAAAATTACATTAATTGAATATTTATTTTGTGTATATAATGCAGTGTGTGTGTATGAATGCAGTGTGTGTGTATGATACAGAGTGTGTTTGTATATGTGATGCAGAGTGTGTAACCTTGGTGGGGGGTGGGCATTTTTATTATTTTTTTTTTTAAATTATTATTATTTTAATATTACATTATTTTATTTTAAATATAATTAAATTTTTTATTTTATTATATTATTTAAATTTTTATTTATATTTTTTCGTCCCCCCTCCCTGCTTGATCCACTGTAAGTCTCGCGGTGTGAGTGCCGCACGGTAAACCGTGGCAACGCTCTGTCCCCGCGGCTCTAGCGAGACTTACAGTGGAGGAGAAGGGAGCTGACCGGAACGCAGGAGAAGGGAGCTGACAGGAGCTGCAGGAAAGGTAAGTTACAGCTCTCTGCCAGCCCCCAACAGGGGTCTGTATTATGGCAATGTAAGTTGCCATAATACAGACATTGACTCGAGTATGAGATGAGTGGGGGTTTTTCAGCACAAAAAAATGTGCCGAAAAACTCGTTTTATACTCGAGTATGTACGGTAATTCTTCTGGCAGTTGTGGCTGAAATCTTTCTTGGTCTACCTGACCTTGGCTTGGTATCAAGAGATCCCCGAATTGTTCACTTCTTAATAAGATATTAAACAGTACTGAATGGCATTTTCAAGACTTTTGATGTATTTTTATATATTTTTCCATCTTTATAAAGTTCCATTACCTTGTTATGCAGGTCTTTTGACAGTTCTTCTCTGCTCCCCATGGCTCAGTATCTAGCCTGTTCAGTGCATCCATTGGAGAGCTAACAAACTCATTCACTACGTATACACAGACACTAATTGTAATTTAAAAAGCCACAAGTGTGGGAAAATTAACCTTAATTTGCCATTTTAACCTATGCGTGTCACCTTGTGTAACAAGGCCAAACATTCAAGGTTATGTAAACTTTTGATCAGGGCCATTTGGGTGATTTTTGTTATTATGATTTAAAAAGGAGCCAAACAACAATGTGATAATAAATTGCTGCCAGGGTATGCAAACTTGTGAGCATAACTGTATATAGACTGTTCATGTTTAACCCCTTCCCGACCGCGCAAGTATCAGGTACGTCCGACAAAAAAACGGTCCTTAAAGACTGCTGACGTACCTGATACCGTCCGTGGCTAGTTAGAGCGCTGGAAGTGATCATAATCGCTTCCAGTAGCTCTTATGGTATTGCAATACTTCTCCTTGCTGCCGGGTGATCGCTCCCCCCGGAGTGATCACTTTCAGGTTGCTCTACGTGGTACCCAGCATTTGGGCAGGCTTCCGATGCTCTGCCTGTGTGCTGAGTGCCTCGAGGGGTTGAGGCAC